TGACACAGATGGGGACTTCTGAAATAGTAGCTCTTTAAATAGTTCCTGTGTTGTATTTTGTAACATATTTTAAACAAAATTGTAGAAGAGATGTGGAAATGTGCAGAGACATTTTAATGCAGCTCTAGATGATTTACCAGAAAGTTCATCCCTTCATCCCTCTTCTGTTAATATCTCTATAAATGTTTGATTTAGCTCAGCATCATCTTATCAGCCTCTCTGTTCTTTAACATGTTTAGGACTCATGGCCTTCAATCACCCGCACTCAATCCAGCATCTCTGATGACGCTGTGAACTCGGGTCACATTGAAGCACTGAAGCAACGTTTGGTTTGATATTTTTCTCATCATGAATCTGACTGAGATTTGCGACAATGCTAAGAAAGGAAGAGAATATGCACTTCTTGGGAATTATGACTCCTCTATGGTGTACTATCAAGGTGTTATACAACAGATCCACAAGCACTGTCAGTCCCTCAGAGATCCTGCCCTGAAAGTCAAATGGCTACAAGTAAGGCGTTCATATACTGTATGATTTAATCTGATATGTATTTATTTATAATGCTGTGAATTACATTTGCTTGTATTAGGCCTGTCGCAATAATCAATATATCGACTTATCGCGCAATATATATACATGACATAATTTTTGTTTGGTGACGCAATATATCGCCCATTATATTTACTTAAAAATTAATGTCACCATGTTTTGTACATTCCACTTGCGCCTGTGTCTTTTGCAGCTTCTCATACATAACGTGGTGTAGTCATGAGGTGCTAGTTCAAATTTAAAAAGTGCTTCTACAAAAAAAGTTTCATCTGCAGATATGGCCTTGTTTAGAGATCTGTGCCTTTGTGCATACGGACATCCGACTGCTAAGTAGTGATTGTGTTTTTCAGCAATAGTGTGCACCCTTAATTTACAGAGAAAAGAAGGTCAGGGAAAAATCTGTAGATGGAAAAATCTCCATACAAGTTCTTAATGCATTTTTCTTTTTTTCTGCTTGTTATTTTGCAATTTCTGTTAGAAAATGTTTGTTTATTTATTTATTCAGGTTTTTTAAGGTATCTAATAATTTGATACTTAATTTCCTGGGGCCGTATGTATAAAGCCGCTCAGAGTAAAATTGTAATCTTAAGTGTCAAAATTCTTAGAATGACGTAATTTTACTCCTATTCCTAGATTTAAGAATAAGTGTGATTCATAAAGGTTCCTAAGTGTTGAGA